CTCGCTCAAAGCTATCATTATTCACGTTGGCGTAAACACAAACACAATCGAAAGTAACCATCAGAGAGACAATTCTCTGACATAGTATAGTTGTTATAAATGTTAAATTCTCATATCAGTTTGATAATTAAATGTACACATTGCGGTTGCATAACATTCTGTAAACGAATCAGTTATCGATTTGTTTTTGTGAACTATGAAGACCAGTGTGCTGTTACCTTCTTGTAGTTTCGTTTTGCTTGCTACCGCTGGAGCTCTGGAACAAACTGCTGAATTTCTAAGTCATTTAGACATGATTATTTGTTCAGAATACCTATGTTCAGATCAGCGGCTCCACTGAGTTAACTACTCCTCGACTGCCACAACGGAATAGTAGACAGTCAGTTTGAGAAATAGGACCGATGAGGCCTTTCGGTCTGGTCGATTTCCAAATAAAGACCTCTGTAAAACAATTAGCCAACGGACTTTCATTCTTTATAAAGAATGGTGATTCCATTAGGCTTTTCGATAACATTATGACACCTGCTAAGCCAAAAAATCTTACTCTGTCAAAATCGGCTAATTGGAAAGCAACAGTTTTGTTTATCATCAAAGGATTTCTGATTGCTTTAGTCCACAGCATATTCATTAGCTCAGATATAACATGCAACCTTGCTGTACTGCAACTGAACATAATTGTAGAAGTACTGATAACGTTTATTGTTTTTAATTTGTCTTGACAGTAGATTGATTGAAAGTATAATACGTTTCTTTTAATTTCTTGCGATTAAGCAATAGGAATTTGTTCTTTTGTCGTTCATTTTAACATATAAACCAAGGGAATAATCATACTGAATTTCATAAAATGTGGTGTTCATGTCTTGATCGCACCATTAACATACTTATTCAAAACATTTCGTCAAAAATTCCAGATTTTGAGTTAGTAGAAAGTTTAGAAAAATTTGCTTTAAGCCTTTAGAACAAAACTGTTTCCTATCGTGGTTGTTTTGCACTCAGAAGACAAATTTATTGAATCCAAGAAATATATATATGGTAGGGGTACTTGATATAGATGTGATATACGCCATATTAATTGTTTCCTTTGAATTACAACTGGCTGATAAACTGACAGTGAATATGACATACTGGCAGATATCAGAGCTATGATTTAATACATCATTGTCGATGAAGCTGCTCGATAATTTATTCTGGTCATTAATTTTCTCACAGGTTACATGGAACACGATTTTATTGCATTATCTGTTTTAAAATGACTTCATACATTGTACGACACCACGACCTCTTATAACGTAGAATATATGTCCATGAATTTGTACCGCGTCTGTTTCATCCCTGTTCGATAATGTAAGAGTTATTATGCATTTTCGTACCTTCTTCTATCCACTTGAATGATAAGTGCTGGATAGAAAAGCATGATTTTCACAGAAGATTTTATTTTTCTTGTTTAACGTTGTCGTAGACATCCTCTTAGAGTTAACATGAGATCGTCAGATTTTTCAGGAGTTGACCTTCGACCAGGAAAATCGCTTACTGACCTAGAATATGCTAATGACATACTTCTATTGAGTGAAGACGCTGACAAAATGCAGAGTCTTCTGATTACCCTAAGCAACAATGCTGTCGTTAGGAAACGAGTACTAGGTAAGGATGGCAGATCAATAGATGAAGTAGTGAAACTTCATCAGTTGAGGTGGTTGGGACATGTGTTACAAACGCCCAACCACCGACTGCCTCGTCGAGCTATATTTTGTGGTGTAGTAGTAGGTTGGAAGAAAGTTAGGGGCGGCCAGACCAAAACATGGCAGAAATCCATGAAGTCACTGACAAGTGGACTGAGTCATGTTGGTAGATGTAGGCTACCTGGTTGGGGTCCGCGAGACGAAAGTCACCAATGGTTAGAGACCTTGAATGACATGGCTCAAACTCGTTTGCGATGGCGCAAGTGCATCCGTTCATTGAGCTCTCTCAAATCCTAATCTTCTGGATTCGTTAGCACCTCTAGTTTTGTCTTTCCAACCTTATCTCACTGAATTATACTTCTTAAATTATATCTACAAACCCTAGTCTTCTTCATTACCATTAATACCCCTACTATCTTTATCACTATGGGATTTGATTTGACATTTGCATCTCTGTGCTAATAATGTGGTATGGCAACCTGAACTTATGTACATGCGTACGAAGTTCTACGTTGCAACTGAACGACTGAAGATTTTATTTCAATTTCTAACTTTCGCATGATTTACCTCTCATCAGTCATGTTGAAATACACTGCATTGATGAGTTCATATAAGATAAAAATATAGTGAAGTTGAGATAATTCAAATAATACTACTTATAAATGTAGGAATCATTCACTAAAAGAACAGCAAAGAAATACTTCAAAACACTAGATATTGCGTTTTTTTATCAAACAATCGAAAAAAGGAATGGTTGTCCTCACAAGCATTCTTCCTTACGACAAAGTGAAGCTAATACTAATGATTTTTAATTCTCTGATCGTAAACTGATCATTTAGGATCAAAAAATGTCGAACTATTTCGACATTTTCATTCAGAGTTTTGGAGGTTTGTGCTTTTACACATTTGAAATCATCAGTCAATCATTGTTAGACCACCATTAGAAACCTTAAAGTACTGGAAGGCCGTTTCGTCCTGGTATGTAACTCATCAGCAGTGCGTATCCATGACTCCTGCACCTCGAAGGATTCGAACTCGGGACTTTCGGTATTGTGCGCAAACGCCTAACCATCGGACCACTGGGCCGCCATCCAACGGTGTTAATGTTTAACTCTAGTTGATCTAGGGATTTTGTGCAACCTCACGCATTTGTCTTTGGTAGTTACTGCCTACACCCGACAGGGTTGAACTCCATTGGTCACGTCTTCTCAACTAGAACTGTGAGAATTTCCTCACGAAGATAGTCACTAGTGAGCACTGTCACGATATTTTCGGGCAGAGTTGGTGGTCTAACATTGATTGACTGATGATTTCAAATGTGTAAAAACTATTTCTAATTATTGCATTTCATTCAATGCAAACTTTATTGAATTGGATTAATTCATTGCGAGAATTAATAAAATGACAGAGCACCCTCACAGATATTTGAGTTTATATACAGTTAATTTGGCTAAGCGCTTTTATTACTTTACTTAACAAACAGTGTCATTAGAACAGAACAGAATAGAGCTTGTCAGTACCAGTGTACTTTTATAATTGTTATGATTGTATGAGTATGATATGCTTGAGCATTTGTTACAGCCTACTCACATGCATTCGTTCTACTAGTTTTAATGTTACATGCTTAACTAATTCGGTGACTCATTTATTTTCCTACATATCAGTATATTTTAGTTTTGTGCAGTCGCTCATGGGCGCTCACATATCATTTCGTTTTCGCTTCGAATGCCAGTGGTTACGTGGTCGGTGTCAGTCAGTCAGTCAGATGCAACGTAGAACTTCGTACGTGAGTACATCAGTTCATGTTGCCATACCACATTACCACAGAGATATAATTGTCAATTCAAATCCAATAGTAGTAGAGGTAGTAAGGGTATTACAAGTAATCGGAGAGGTTAGGATTAGAAGATATTATTCACGAAGTATGATTCAATGAGATAAGTTTAGAAAGTAAAAGCTAGAGGTGTTGAAGAACCCAGAAGATTAGGATTTGAGAGAACACAAAGAATAAATGCACCGGCGCCATTGCGAACGATTTTGAGCCATGTCATTCAGAGTCTCTAACCATCGATTATTATCATCTCGCGGACCCCAACCAGGTAGTCGACAACTACCGACATGGCTAAGTCCACTAGTCAATGACTTCATGGATTTCTGCCATGTTTTGGTTTGGCCGCCCCTAGATTTCTTCTAACCTACTCCTACACTACAAAACAAAGCTCGTCGAGGCTGACGGTGGTTCGGCATACGAACTGAATTTGGTAACCGCTGAAAGCTGCTTCAATCTTTGGTCGAAAACCAGTAACTTACGAATATCTTCTACTCTCGCTGGCCATGTTTCACAGCCATAAAGTAAGGCGGAGCGAACAACTGTGCAGTACACTCGTCCTTTAGTCAGCAAACAGATATCTCGCCTACGTCATAAGTGACGCAGGTTGGCAAAAGCCAAGCGAACCTTCTGTATCCGTGCTGAGATTTCGTCAGTCAGTTGATGCGCTAATCAAATTCCTAATTGAAATAAGGAATCCAGTGCAGTTATTATCGACACTAAACCTTAATCGTTTACTTCAAAAACAGATGGAAAACTTTGAAAGTTAAAGAGATCATCAGATGTTTATTTCTTATTAAGGATTCTAATCTGCAAGAGATCCTTACTTTACTTAAGAGATTTAACCTTGAAATCATGAATGAATCATTAACAGATCACCATTAAAGACATGAAAACACTGAAAGACGGCATTTTATTCTTAACATGAGACTCATCAGCAGTGTACATCCACGACTCCTGCCTATTCGCAGGATCAGAACCCAGGACCCCGCGGGGCTAGTCATTGATGAGGATATTTTTCGATTTCTCATTAGAGTATTACGGAGATGGTAGTTTTACTCAGCAATCAGGAATGAATCATCGTTATTAACTACCGAAGACAAAAAGTGCGGTCGTGCAAAATTCTTAGATCATTCATAGTTGAACATTAACACCGTTGGATCCAGAGTTTAGGTGTTCGCGCTCAATATTGAACATCATGAGTTTGAATCCTGCAAGTAGCAAGAGTCATAGATGCACACTACTGATGAGTCCCATACTAGGACGAAACGGCCATCTTTCAGTGCTCCCAGGTATCTAACACGGTGGTCTAACAATGATTCATTCATGATTTCAAAATGAAACTGCCATCTCCATAATACTGCAATGCAAAATTTAAAAATTATTTAAGCCAATGACTTAGAACTACCTAGTACATAGTTGTAACATTGAAATAAACTGACAATATAATCCACATTTTTATGCCTATTCTATTCGACCTCTTCAAATTACAGTCAGAAAATACAACAGATAATACTACCAATAATAATATTAAAACTGCAACTTACAAATTAACCGATCAAGATCGACCATCCATTTGTCCACAAAGCGAAAATGCAATCATTTTCAATACACGATTATCAAAAGTTTTATTAATGCTTCGATTAAATCAAACTACTGGACGATTTGAATGTTGTATTCAACAAATTAATATGATTGATATGCAGATAAGTAGAATACCAAGGCGAAGTAAGTTCTTAGTGAATAATTTATCATAAGATGAGTTTATTTTCTGTTTAAAGTGATCAAATTTTTTGGTAACTTGAAATTAGAACAACCCATATAAGCGAACAAGAGTGTTGTTTTCGATTAGATCGTCATCAGGCTGTATACTCTCTGATATACATGAATATTTATATGAAAATGTTAAACCAATCAAGGCAATTTGAGTGATAATCACAATGAAATGAAATAGAGATTACATCACTACATATAATAGGCAAAAGTCCAAGTGGATAGTAGGAAGACAAGTTTACTGATAGTAGTAAGAAAATTATAAAATATGATAACTAAAGTTTTATCAATAGTGGGTCAAAGGGGGATGAATAGACTTCAAATAATCATCACAAAACATCAAAACAATTACGTAATAAGCAAATGTGTAAAAATAAAAAATCAAAATAAGATAAAAAATGTAATGTCAATCGTTAGTTACGTCATATCCGGCCACAGAAGAGATAGGGGTGTCACGAATTTCTTCTAAACACATAAACTGGGGTTGAATGTACGTATTCCTATGGCTTCTGCTAAGTGTAGGAGACAGGATCGAAGTCCGTTGGGAAATGATTTAGGTATACGATAGATTACCCGAAAAGATCTAGACTTATCTACAATATGACCACTATTGACCAGGGGTGCCAAGATCAAACTGCGTATTATTTTTGACTGACCCTTCTTAAACCATGCTGAGAGATGTTCACTCATTCGTTGGTTAAATTGCCTGGAAGTAGGCCCGATAAAGCTATCTCGACAGGAGCAGCTGAATTTGTAAATGCACATAGAGGAGGCCAACTCAGGTAACTTATCCTTCGTTTGGGTAGACATCGCTGGTCGACTTGAGAAGGTAAACGCAAGTTTGGCTGCATTGAATGTTCTACTAATTGCTCTCATTAATTTGTCCTGCAGAGTATCGCAGGCTGTTATCATATTTTATAATTTTCTTACTACTATCAGTACGCTTGTCTCCCTAATATCCACTTGAACTTTTGCCTATTATATGTAGTGATGTAATCTCTATTTCATTTCATTGTGATTATCACTCAAAAACAACACTATTGTTCGCTTATATGTGTTGTTCTAATTTTCACAATGGGAATCTTTAAAACTTGAAATTAAACTTTTATAAACAATCAGATTTACATATCAAACTAATTCGATTACTTGGCATAAAAATTATGATTACTACGCTTTAGGAGGCAGTCCATAGGAATACTTCAAACTAGATTTTTTACATGCTCGTCAACCGCAATGCTTGAATGCTATGACGAGTTCACCTTACTCGGTAACGAAAGCAAAGAGCAATGATTCAGTAACACGATAGGTTATTCTAATCCGTTTTCCCAGGCCTTGCTAACAAAAGTAAGAAGACTTGATAAAAAGTAGAGAATGTATTCTACTGGCACCCAGAAAATACGACATTGCTAAGCACACAAACCAAGCTTTTTTAAACAATGATAGAAACGCCTTTTTGGAAGAGCCACAAAACAGCGCACTAAAAAAGTCTGTCAACCAATGACAGTGAAGGATTTCTCTTGGCGCGAAAGCGTGGAAATTCGAAATTTCAGAAATAAATTACAACATTTAGGCCATTTACAAGTGAGTTCTGGGGATCTAACGTCCACAGCAATTTTATTTTAATTATGACTGATGTCCAGTAAAGTTTGCACATAATCGTATACCATGAAGTAATCGAAAATAGGTTACTTAATGTTTTGCCGATTACCTCTAAAAACTGAATGTCAAATATAGTGTACATCACTTAAAGTCACCTAGACAAGTGACTATATGGAAACTTATTTGATTAATAAGTGAGGATGAATGTTCAGATAAGTTATTATTAATATAAATACAATTATTTTTTACATAACTTGTATTGACCCCGGTATCTGATTCCGATTTGGCAAGAAGCATCTGTTTCTTCTCCATGTATGACTCGTCAACTTTTGTCCTATATGACACATGTATTTATTAATGTTAGGGCCGATCACCAAAACGTTGTTCTTACCCGACATTTTCTAATAAAGCTTTTATTTCAAAAGAGAGAAAAACTAAGTATGGTACAACTTCTGTGTATGTATAGTATATACGTGACCTTAGAAAACGTTTAAGGAATTAACTTATTTAAAGGATTAAGCAACCAATGAGAACGAAAAAAATACTCAAGGTCATCACAGTGAGCATGAGATTTGAATTCTTTAATGACACGTAAACATGAATATTCGAACAGTCAAACCAGAACATACATAATTCGATATTTTCTAGAAAAGACTGAAAAATAATGTTTTTATCTTTAATTACATTGAATCATGAAATTTAGGCTGAAAGACAAAATCAAATCAAATCCTTCTACATAGTAGTAGTAGTAGTGGTAGTAGTAGTAGTAGTAGTAGTAGTAGTAGTAGTAGTAGTAGTAGTAGTAGTAGTAGTAGTAGTGGTAGTAGTAGTGGTAGTAGTAGTAGTAGTAGTAGTAGTAGTAGTAGTAGTAGTAGTAGTAGTAGTGGTAGTAGTAGTGGTAGTAGTAGTAGTAGTAGTAGTGGTAGTAGTAGTAGTAGTAGTAGTAGTAGTAGTAGTAGTAGTAGTAGTAGTGGTAGTAGTAGTGGTAGTAGTAGTAGTAGTAGTAGTAGTAGTAGTAGTAGTAGTGGTAGTAGTAGTAGTGGTAGTAGTAGTAGTAGTAGTAGTAGTAGTAGTGGTAGTAGTAGTGGTAGTGTAGTAGTAGTAGTAGTAGTAGTAGTAGTAGTAGTAGTAGTAGTAGTAGTAGTAGTAGTAGTAGTAGTAGTAGTAGTAGTAGTCGTAGTAGTAGTAGTAGTAGTAGTAGTAGTAGTGGTAGTAGTCGTAGTATTAGTAGTAGTAGTAGTAGTAGTAGTAGTAGTACTGTGAGTAGTAGTCGTAGTAGTAGTAGTAGTAGTAGTAGTAGTAGTAGTAGTAGTAGTGGTGGTAGTAGTAGTAGTATTAGTAGTAGTAGTAGTAGTAGTAGTAGTAGTAGTAGTCGTAGTAGTAGTAGTAGTAGTAGTAGTAGAAATGATAATTAAATAGACTATAATTTTAATTTTAAAGACATAATTTAACTTTCCTATAACTGAAATTATGAATGAATCATTTTTAGACCATCATCAAAAACATGGCAGCACTGGACGGCCATCTTGTCCTAGCACGGGACTCTTCAGCTGTGTGCATCTACGATACCTGCTCGCGTGAATCTAACCCAGGACCTTCGGTTTTGAGCGAAAACGCTCAACCCCTAAACTAGCGAGCCAGCATCCAAGGGTGTTAATGTCAAACTTTGATCAAGCTAAAATCTCGCACAGCCTCAGAATTAAACATGACGTCAAAAATTATTTCATTTATTGTTTAAAACCATCACATAACTAAGTAAGACTGAAATGACCCAATCAATTCATGACAGCCTATAATTTTGACATCCTCATTAATTAATATCTGTATAACCTTCATTAAGTTGAACAGTTTAATCAAATAAACCTCTAACCGCTATTCAAAGCTTCAACAGTATGCAAAATCCATAGTTCTTGTTAGTAGTGTATGTGTGAAAAGGAAATAATGTGATTCACTCATGTTCATGACTTAAAATACTTGTCTCCTTCTGTTTTTTTCAGGTATTTATGTGAAATTACTTATCAGAACAGAACAAGATGGTTTAATCAATAAAGCACAAAGTGCATATTATCCAAAACAATCAACTATACACTTGAATGAAACATTTGCATTTTATATTAAATCATATCAAATAGGTCAAATCACTGTAGAATTTTCATTATTACGAAGAAAACCATTCAATAAACGTACTATCATTGGGACATGCAAAATAGGTAAGTGATAGCGAACAAAATTAAAAAAAAAATAATATGACATGTAAGTTAAATTGATGAATGATATATGATTTAGATTACCGGGAGGACGATTATTTAGTTAAGTGTAGTATTGTGTTACACTTATTGTCACACTTCTCATTTGTCAGTGAGACAACTGAGTGTGTGTGAGAGAGGAGCAAGAAGCTTTTTATTGGCCTAACAAATAGAGAACTAGCAGAACACTCATCCTGGCAGATTTAAGTCACATTTCTCCTTGTAAAAAGGTGCCAAATTTTGAATAGTCTATTGCTCTTAGCATCTGGTCAATTTCTGAATGTACCATTCTGTTATTAACTGTCATATTTACACAAGTGCAAGTAGAATGATGCTTCAATTCGAGTAGGTACCCATTAGCTAACATTAAATAACTAATAACAGAGAATTATCATCTACACCAACCAGAAAGTACAAATTTTTGAGAACAACTGTTTATAACCTGGAATCATTCTCCGAACACCATCAGAATCAGTTAGTTCACTGTAATAGAAGGTAGACCAGGAGATTGAGAAAAGACTCTGGAAGTGATTAGAAGTTACATTGCAGAAAACAATGAATTACATCATACCGAACTATTTATCCTGAAGTTGAAAAGAAAATCAGAACTAACAATATTTAGTATCAAGAATCGGTGATGAACTTCAAAACTACGAGTACCAATCGTGAAGGTTTAAAAAGTAGAGCCAAGGATAAAGTTGGTTGATGGATGGCATATGCCCCAAAATCGAGAACAGGGCTCAAATGACTAATTCATTTTCAAATAATCTTACACAGTTCTAATGTTAAAATAATTATTTTTGGATGCCGGCCCCGTGGTCCGATGGTTAGGCGTTCGCGCACAATACCGAAGGTCCCGGGTTCGAGTCCTGTGAGGTGCAGGAGTCCTGGATGCGCACTGCTGTTGAGTCCCATACCTGGACGAAACGGCCGTCTTTCAGTGCTTCCAGGTTTCTAATGGTGGTCTAAAAATTGATTGATTGATGATTTCAAATGTGTAAAAACACAAACCTCGTAAAACTCTGCCCGAAAGTATTTTTATATTGATTGCTAACTTCTTTAGTGTATGCTGATGACTACTCTAACATCTGACATTTTAAAATTAATTTGTATGTTTGGCTTCTTATTTAGTTGAAATTTTAACGAAAACCACTTTTTAACTATTAATGACTCAAAAATCCTTTTCAATATTCAATTTGTATATGCATATTAAATGATGTTTGAAACATAATTGAAGTTTTAATTGTCCGCTTATATTTTTTTGTTTTAATTGAGTTAAGTGATTTTGCGCAATTTTGAATTTAAGACTTAACAATTCTAACAAACCATTCAATAGATTTTTCCTGTTAGACAGAGCTTTAGAGTGGTGATACATTTTGTATCTCTCATTGAATAGCTGTCAGATAAACATAACATTATTTTGAGATGGTGGAGAAAACTTGTAGCTCAGGTGGATGATTGTGGTGGTGTTTCGTTCTCTGAGCTGGTTGTTTTGGTTGTGGAGCTTCAGATAGAATTTCTATCTGAAGTTCATGCTGATGATGTTGTTCAGAAGAACAATAAAAGCTCCACAACCAAAACAACCAGCTCAGAGAACGAAACACAACCACCATAACATTATTTCAATAACATATGTATATATCTTATATCTATTATAAACAAATGAAATATTTGAAAGGCTACTGAATTCACAAGTTAAAAATAAGTTAGTCATCGTGTATGTAAACAAACTGATTTAGCTATTCTAAGCAAAACTATTAAGTGTTTGAATGTTAGTAGTATAAGAGATTGTGAGGAAAATTTGTAAAGCCTTCAACTGATTTTGTACAATACTATTCCTCTAGTCTTGTATAAACAGTGTTGGTCACTTAGAGATATGGTAAAAACTGAAAACTGAAATACAAGAGTACAACAAATCATGTACTTAGATTAAGAATTGTCAGAAGGCTTTGAATTGAAGGCTTATTAGCTTTGGACAATCATCACCAACAAAATCAAGGTTGATGGAGAAGCTTTGGAAGATGTAGAAACCTCTAGATAATACCTTGACAGCATCATTGATAAACAAGGTGGATTTGATGCCGATGTAAAGAACGGGATTGGTGAAACGAGGGCAGAATTTCCACAACTGAAGAACATGTAAAGTTCATAACAACTGCCTCTCAACCAACACCGAAGTCACAATTTTCAACATTTTGGCCATATGATATCGGCAACAAATCAATGTGGGAGAGAACAAACCGGTTTCCTTCAGCTGAGGGAGAACTTAGTGCTAGGATATTCATTCAATATCCTAAGAGAATTATTGGTCAACTCCAATTGGTTAATTCCTACTGGTCAGTTTTATGATCGTCCTAGATATCAATGTCACATACTCCAATGTTGTTTCTTATTGGCTGTCTTGACTATCAGTGTCACTTCAAATGTTGCTTCTTATTGATCGTCCTAACTGTCAATGTCACAGAATTCGATGCTGTTTCCTATTCGATCAAAATGTATAAATACGCATTATCTGTAAGGTTTTATGACCAGGACCAGGACTCGGTCTCGGATCTCTAGTCGGGTATCCTGATTCTCTTCTGGATTCGGACCTCGTACTTTCTGGATGCTTGTAGAATACGGGTTCTAGTTCATATCAAGTCTTCTTATTTTCACTCAATATGGGGATTGGGGTAATCGGATTCCAGTAGCATGTCGTGTCACCGGATCCTCGCTCTCGTTTTCCAACTAGGTATACTCGTAATAGTTCAAGTATATCAAGTTGACGTGTTTACATGCAGGCGTAACACTTAGGAAGAAGCGTTGGAGGTGGATAGGACTCACATTGAGGAAAACACCCAACCGCGTCACAAGACATGCCCTCACTTGGAATCCTCGAGGTCAAAGAAAGAGAAGTAGACCATAGAACACCGTGCACTGAGAATTCAAGGTACACATGAGAAGAATCATTAGCAATTGGGTTAAACTAGAAATGAAAATCCAGATCAGAGTAGATTGGAGAATGCTGGTCGACGGCATAGACTCCACCATTAAGAGTAAAACAAGCATAAGTTAGTAACTTATTAGCAAACATCCACTAATCACATATTTTAATTGTATTAGACAAATTGAATAGACATAAACATTTAATATGAAATTATTCACACTTTGATCGATTTCAAATTTCACTTATCGTGCGTGCACAATGTTTACATTAATTAATATATATTCTTATCATCATCAAGTAAGTTTATCTTAATCAACAATTAAACACTATGTATTAATAAATATGATGATAAGCCGTTTTAGTTTATCAGTTAGTTATTCGATTGTTCCAAATTATTGAACTTCTGATTTTATATTGACTATATGTGTTTTATATGTTTTAATCGTTGATTGATATGTGAATTTATATTTAGGCAAATATAATACAAGTATTCATGAATTGGAACATTGGGAACGTGTATTAACTGTGAAAGATCAAATGATATCACAATGGCATAAATTCTATCCAATAGCAATTACACCAACGGAAATGACTTTTAAATCTAGAGAAGATAAAAACAATCAATCGTCAAAGGAGGAACAACAACAGCAATAACATTAAATTCATTTTATTTTGACGAATAATTTATATGGTTTTCTTTTTATTGATAGCGTATATTTCTGTTGAATAATACCGAAAATGCACATACAGTGTTGTTTAATTAAGAAATAAAATGTTTTTTAAATTAGAGTTATGGAGATTAATGTTTTTACACATTTTAAATCATCAATCAATCATTGTTAGACCATCATTAGAAACCAGCAAGCACTGGATGGCCGTTTCGTCATGGTTTGGGATTCATCAGTGGCAGTGCGCATCCACGACTCCTGCCACTCGCAGGATTTGAACCCGGGACCTTCGGTATTGTGCGCAAACGCCTAACCGTTGGATCACTGGGCCGACATTCAGCGGTGTTAATGTCTAACTCTGATTGATCTATTGATTTTGCGCGACCTCACACATTTGTCTTCGGTTGTTGCTGCCTATACCCGAAAAGATTGAACTCTATTGGTCACGTCTTCTCACTAGAACTCCGAGAATTTCCTCACGAAGCTAGTCACTAGCGAGCACAGGTAATTTGCATTACGGGGTTGTGAAGATTGTTAAGTTACACATTTTTCGAAACCATGAATCGATCAATGTTAGACCACCATTAAAAACTTGGAAGCACTGGAAGGCCGTTTCGTCATGGTATGGGACTCTTCAGCAGTGCGCATCCACGACTCCTGCACCACGCAGGATTCGGAACCAAGACCTTCGGTATTGTGCGCGAACGCCTAACTATCGGACCACTGAGTCGGTATCTAACGGTGTTAATGTCTAACATCGCTCAATTCACGAAGTTGCGCAACCTCATACACAGTCTTCGGTAGACACTGCCTACACCCGAACAGGTTGAACTTCACTGGTCACATCTTCCCACTAGAACTCGGAGAAGATTCCTTACGAAGCTAGTCACTAGTGAGCACAGGTAATCTGAATTATGGGGTTGTGAAGATTGTTAAGTTACACATTTTTTGAAACCATGAATGCGCACTGCTGATGAGTCCCATACTAGGACGAAACGGCCGTCCAGTGCTCTCAGGTTTCTAATGGTGGTCTAACATTGATCGATTCAAGGTTTCAAAAAATGTGTAACATATGAAATCATCAAATATAAGATGGAAAAAAAATATTCAATGATCAATGTATCTGCTTGAAAGTTTTTTGTTCAAAATTCAATTTATTCTTAAACACGAAAACCGAAGCATACATGTTCATGTAATTGATTTTTAACAAACTGACTATAATGTGATATCAATTGATCTATCATGTAGATATGATATGAGTGATTGGTTTTTTGTTATTGGTGTAGATCGAATGTGAAATGATTTGAATTGTTTGACTTTTTCTCTTGATAGATTACGCAATTACTGAAACTTGAAAAACTAGTTACTGCAAAAAATCTTATTATTTAATTGAACTTTTGTGAATTTTCAAGTAGGAATAAGCATATAACACTGAACAGAGTGTATATTTTAGAATTACACAGTAGATAATTGTATCATTGTCATGATGTAAATACATTTGAACCAACAGTTATTTTCATTGTCGAGATCTATAGTTATAAGTTCATTATTATTGTGTTATTGTTGCTGAAGTACTTACTTATTTATACCTGTTGCTTTCAAATGGGGGATTGGACACCGACCAGCATTCTCCAACCTACCTTATACTGGGTGTTCCTTTTTAGTTATGTCCAATCGTTGTTCATTATTCTCATGTATGTCTCCATTTCTCAGCTTAATGTGTTCTTTAATCTTCCTCTTCTCCTTTGGCCCTGAGGATTGCAAGTGAGGGATTGTCTTGTGACGCACTTTTGTGCTTTCCCCTATGTGTGTTCTATCCACTTCCAGCTCTTCTTTCTCTGGAATTCGGTTTGTTCTCTCCCACAGTAGGTTGGTGTTGATAGTGTCTGGCCAATGGACGCAAAGCATTTTGCGTAGAGTTTCCAAAATAAGACACAAATTAATCAATTGGACGTTCATGTTTGTTAAGTATAAAACTTCAAGACTGTATCATTTGTAACTTACAAAGATCATTTATTAAACATCAGAAAGATTTAAATAAAGGATGTCAAATAGTTATCAATATAATATTATATAGTACAATAAAACATGTGAATAAAATGCATAGTAAGAGAAATTTTGTCTCGACAATGGTTAGAATAATAAGTTTGTGTGAATATACTACATGGTACGCGAACAGTGTAGTCAAAGATGTCAGATTATTACTGTCGATATGTACAGATGACACACTAATTGTGTTTGATGAAAGTATCAACAAAAACAAGAACTGTTGAACAGTTTTGATAACGTTCACCGAGCTGTGAAATTCACCAGAGCTAAGGAGGATGATGATACTGTAGCTTTCCTTGATGTCCCGGTTTCTAGAAGGATAGAAGATTCCATGAGAAGAATACATAGACAAGTCAGTATAGCCACTTCCTCAATAAGAAATACGCTTGGTTAAATATTTTCAAGCCATAGAATCAAACTATTATATTTTGACGATTGTGTGGATAGCGAAATAGAGGATCAGGATTAATTGTAAACATTGAATATGAATGTCAGTTAATCGTTCGTTAACACTCTTTATACGTGTCATTTTTTAATATTTACCGATAAATGACCTTTTAAATCATGAAACGATCAATGTTAGTCCCCCATTACAAACCTAAAAGCCATTTCGTCCTGATATGGCATTCATCAGTAGTGCGCATCCACAACTCCCGCTACCCGCAAGAATCGAATTCAAGACCCTCGGTCTTGTACACGAACGCATAGCATCTGGACTATTTAACCGGAAGAAACGGTCGTCTAGTGCCTCCAGGGTTTTGATGGTGGTCTATTACTGATCGATTCATGATGTTTAAAGTAACGCAACAGTCTACACCAATCTATGGAGACGTACCCATTGGAGTTCAACCCTGTCGGGTGTAGGCAGTAACTACCAAAGACAAATGTGTGAGGTTGCGCAAAATCCCTAGATCTGTCAGAGTTAGACATTAACACCTTTGAATGACGGCCAACTGGTCCGACGGTTAGTCGTTCGCGCACAATACCGAAGGTTGTGGTTCCGAATCCTGTGAGGTGCAGGAGCCGTGGATGCGCACTGCTTATGAGTCTCATACCATAACGAAACGGCTGTCCAGTGCTTCCAGCTTTCCAATGGTGGTCTAACAATGATTGATTGATGATCTCAAATTGTAAAAACACAAACCTCCGAAACTCTGCCCGAAAATAATAAGTGATTGTAAACTGAGAAATTCGCCATAACTTCGCATAATTTATATTCTCCACTGCAATTAAACATATACATTGGGACCAACTCGAGAATATTGTTGTTAGTAGTAATATTAGTAGTATTTTTGTGTGAAATTAACAAGAGAAAAAGTGGCCTATCCTAATAATGTGGTTGGTTGTCTGACAGGTCAAATATGATGTGATAAGTTAGTTTGTAATACTACACTGTTTCAATTAACATTTTGTGTTTATATTATTTCGTTTTGTACATAAACTATTGACCACTAACTAAGTTATGATTTATTTATCAACAAGTTACAGGATATTGATAGTTTATTTGTGTATATTAATTCAAAAATGACTGATTGACAGTAATTTTTCATATAAGCTGAAAGGTTGATGAACATTTTTCATGTAAAAAAACTTCATGTTTCTCATTTTGACTTCTTATAAAGAAACGGATATCTTACAGAACCAGAGATCTCTCTCAGTCGCTGATATGAAGTCAGTGGCACCTGAAATACTGTTAGCGATTCGAATAGTTGGGAGTGTTGATCAGTTCATTTATCTTGGGAGTCTTATATCAGTGCTGATGGCCTGATGACTGACGAAATCTTAGCACGGATAAAGAATGCTCGACTTATGAAGTAGGCGAGATATCCGTCTACCGACCGTAGGACGAGTCTACTGAGCAGCAGTTCGCTCCGTCCTAATATATAAGTGTGAAATAAGGCCAGTAAGAGTAGAGGATATTCCTAGGTTACTGGTTTTCGATCATAGTTTTCTTCGAAGCATTAATCCTATATCCTGGAACCACCAAGTAAGCAATCCTGTTGATAGGAAAATGATATAAGTTAAGGAAGACAGATCAATCGATGAAGTACTGAATATTCATCATTTGAGGTGAATGGTAAGTATGTTGCGAATATCTCACACCGACTGCCTTGAAGGGAAATGTTTTTTTATGTAGGGGTAAGTTAGGAAGAGAGCTAGGGTCAGCTAGACCAAAACATGGCACAAATCCGAGAAGTGTTCTACAAGTGGACTGAGCCATGTTAGTAGGCTTGTGCCACTAGGTTGGGATCTGAAAAACAATAGTAACCGATGCTTAGAGACTTTGAATGACATGGCTTAAAATCGTTTGTAATGGCGCAGATGCATTCATTCTTTGTGTTCTCTCAAACTGTAATCTACTGCCTCTACCACTATGGGATTTGAATTGACAATTCAATCTCTGAGTGTGTTAATGTGGTATGGCAACTCGAACTGATGTACATGCGTATGAAGTTTCTCTTCCTGTAGACATTTCACACTTAAACTGTTTTTGTCAAATGCGACTGGTTGAAATAATATCTATCCCCATCAGTTCATTATAAAACAGCTTGGCACTAGTATAAGGAAAAACGTATCACAGTAATATTTTGCTGCGGTTATAGTGTTTCTTCTCCTCGTTTCTTTCTCTAGTTTTAGATGACTAAAAATATGCAGTTATGGCGCTGAAAGTAGTCATACATCCTAATCCCCCAGCTGTTGCTTTTTTTTCTTACGCCTGTTATTTCCGATGGAGCTTAGGGCGCCGACCAGCATTCTCCAACCTACTCTGTCTTGAACCTTTCTTTCTAGTTCAGTCCAATCGCTGTTCATTCTTCGCAGTTCTGTCTCCATTTCTCGGAGTAGTGCATTCCTTTGCATTCCTCTTTTCCTCTGATCTACCGGATTCCAAGTGAGAGCTTGTCTCGAGACGCAGTTGAATTTTTTCCTCAATGTGTGAACTTTTCACTTTCAACGCTTCTTCCTAATTTCTTCTTCCGCTGAAATTCGGTTTGTTCTCTCCCCACAGAAAGTTATTGCTGATGCTGACTGGCCAAGAGATCCGAAGTATTTTGCGTAGGCAACTGTTAATAAACACTTGTA